AACTATCCCTTTACAGCACTTCACTCCCTACACATTTCCCCTCGTCCTACTTTCCCAAACGTCAACAACACATCTCATACATCCAGTTCGCTGATTAACCCTTGTACCACGTCTACTGGATAAGATAAGATGTTAATTGCATCAAAACGTCCATTTAGGACAACACGTATACATTTAATAATACATATAACATAGAAAACACATACATTTACACACAAGTAATACATTCATACAGACATGTGATACTCTTGTTGGCTAATAGTCTTGTTTCATCATTTTCATTCTATTATGGATAATCGCTCCTAAATATTTCCAATTGTAAATTAGATTTACTGTGTTAAATAAAAGGGTGTTGATAAGAAAATTTGTTCGCAAACTAACTGATAAGTCCACAATAAATAAATACTTTAATTTTAACAAGCACACACCTGAGACATTATCGACAATGCGAAAGTAATTTAAAATGGCTGTTAAATCGAATAATGCCTAAAAGGAAGTTTAGTCTCCTTCAATTTTAAAATTCCTTGTTGTACTGATAACTTTGCCATACTTTCAAGTGCATAATTAATGTTGACATCAACATTATTGTCATCTGCCTTTCAAAGAAAGCAGGGAACTATTAAAATGGGCCTGTTCGTCTGTTCATCAAGCCATTTGGGACACAATACCTCTTCTTCTAATTGAGGTAGAATTTTTAAACTTTGTGTAGGTGTTGATTATGTGAATGGCTTGATGGAGTTCGAAGATGCGCATTTTATGTTTAGGATCAGCAGAGATAAGCAATTTGATTGGTTGATTGGTCATAATGTGGCACAAAATATGACCTTTGTCACCAGTCTTACGCCAAGTTTGTTCAAATTTTGTCGCTCTGAAGTGATATTGTTGGCTTCCTGACTTGGTTAGCTAGCTTTTAGGCTTTGTTTCAGCTATGGACTCTAAATTTTAATTATGGTCACAAATTAGTGCTAATTAATTAGCTCTTAAGTAGCATTAGTACAGCATTTCATGCTCTAAAGCAGTCATTTTGTGCAGTGAAGCCCATAGAAATGGTGTTAGAAAGACAAATAATCCCGGACAAGACAATTTAATCAAATAAACTCAAACGTCATTATGTGACCTAAAATTTGACCTTTGACCCTTGTCACCTTTGAACCACTCTTAAGCAAGGTTTGTTCAACTTTTGTCGCTCTTAAGTGATATTTTTGGTTTCCTGACTTGGTTAGCTAGCTTTTAGGCTTTGTTTCAGTTATGGACTCTAAATTTTAATTATGGTCATTCGTTAGTGACCTTTGACCTTTGTCACCCTTGAACGAGTCTTAAGCACGGTTTGTTCAACTTTTGTCGCTCTTAAGTGATATTTTAGGTTTCATGACTTGGTTAGCTAGCCTTTAGGCTTTGTTTCAGGTTTTAAGATAACAATTAGATATCACACGATCAACGTTTAATTTGGCTAGAGCAATCTTAGACATTAAACAAAAACTTAACAAATCTTCTAGCTTACTCATTTTAACGCTGAACTGAACGCCATCATTAGGGATGCCCTTCTATTTTTAGTAACACTACGTCAAAACATGGCTGCCCACTACCCTGTCTCCACAGAGTATTTTTACTCTGTGCTCACTCGGCAAACCTCGGCAGATTCCGGTACCTTACATCTAGCCTCGGCTGTATGACAGTAAGTGATATGTACCTACGCCTATACATTTGCGATGTGGCACCGGTTTACTTATAAGGGAAACTTGCCCGCGTTTAGAAAGAAGTTCTCAAAATTGCGTCGTTCGAAGAGTGTGTATAATTTTCAGTGCAAATTTGTCCTTGTCTAAAGAAAATGGGATAAACTTGAAAGAAAAACAGCTTCAAACTTTGAAAATTTTGTAAGATAAACTTTCTTCAAATACGTCGTCATCAATGACGTCATTGACAACGCCATAGAGCGTACCCGATACATGACCTATATACAGGCCGCCGCCATGTTGGCGGACAACAACACGCCCACCTCTTAGTAATCATGGTAATAGATTTTAGTACCATCACACATTGATTGCTTTTCAGAGTAAATAAATATAAATGCGCCAGAAAATAACGTACATATTTGAAAAGAGCAATGAACGTGCTAAATTACAGTTATACGTAATATGATATCTGGAATTTTGTATTAAGACCCGTATTTTTAATTTCAATAGTCCTACCCCGACGAGTTTCGTACCACACTGCACTTTCATCGCTTTTCATGGCATTTAAGTAGGACTGTCCTGGTAAATTATTTACATATTTGAAAGGGGCAATAAGCGTGCTTTTCAGTGGTAGGTAACATGGTATATGTAATTTCGTATTCGATCTACATCAAATCGAGCAACGTTTGTCAATTTAAGTGCTTCACGTTTGAGGCCAGCGATCGCTGTCGCTCTTCTCGGCTCCCACAAACGTCATATCAGACGGGTTTTTCATCGCTCTACCGTTGATAAAAGCGCTCTCGTCATTTCTTACAAATTTGTCCAAAAAAAAAAATAAATAAATAAAAATGAACCCCCAGGCTGCAAATAAAGCCCATTTAAACGTATCCTTGAATATCGTCCAATGAAAATTTTATTTTTGGCACCAAAAATAAGTATTGCTGAATTCGATAGGCCTACTCTGTTCTGGAGTCATGATGCCTAAAGTAAATACTATGGGTGCTTGAAATATTTTTGTTGACGTCAAATTATTCTATTAGTTACTTATTTTTTTGTATAGGCCCTACACACTTTATAGACCTAGGGTACTACATAATTAGTCATTGTGGTTAACGATCTAAAATTAATTCCAGCCAATAATACTATAAAGTATGCAATATGCAAATAAGATTGATGGCCCCCGTGCTTGCATATTGTTAGCTAATAGTTACTGGAAATTTTCCCGCGTTTAGACGGCTCTAAACAATGATAAACTAGTTGGGGCGATCGCTGGGACGATAACAGCCTGCATTTTTATGATATTTCTCTTGATAAAATATGGATAACAGAAACAATAAAACGATGATTATATCGAATCAGTGAATAATTATTAAACCTCAAAATAAAACTTACAAAAAAAAAAAGAAAATATATCCAGTGAGTCAGTTTTTCCAAAGTTCGATTGATTACCCTACATTCCAAATTTCTATGGTTCCTATTATTATATTCTTTATATAGTTTTTATATTTTACTCTGACGTGTATTGCATTGCGTACAGTTTTCCTAGCGGAAAACTTGACCTTTTGACCCCCAGGGTCACAAAGAACAAAGGTGAATTTAGCAAGTTTACATTTTTTATTGAAAGAGTGATCAGTTTCGATCATTTTCAGCATGTTTTCATGATACAAGAATGATTGCGTATTCACTTTCAATGTAAATGACTAATTTGACCCCAAATATCTCGAAAACGCCTCAATGGCGGACTGGTTACCGCTCGGCATCGTAATCTACGCATAAACATACTAAATAAAAGTTGGGACTGGTTTTGTGCTCATTTGATTCCCCCCCCCCCCACTGCAACCTAGTTCAGCTCTGTAATGAGACCTACTTTCAGAGCTGAACTACCCGCAACCAGCCTATTATACTAGCCTATCATTGGGAAACCTGAAAAACATTTTGACACAGGTTTCATGGATGTAGACTCAAGTTGTTATAAAACCAAACTTTTTGCTAGCTGCTGGCCTAATTGTTGTGGACCAGAAACCGTTGCAGACATCCTCACCAGGCTGAATATTGTTACCCGGAGGACCAGGAGACAACCCCCGGGGTTGGACAGGGATCCAACTCCTTGTTATATACAAGCGGGGAATCAAAACATCTCCATTTGACTCAATTAATGACAGACCTTACAGTTTCATATGCACATTCTAAACCACTAAACCCTTGCCATATTTTTATTATCTTGAGTTCACCTCTGTATACACTTTGTCAAATGTTTTATTACACTCAATACTTGCTCTTGTTTTTTGATGTGGCGAATATAAATGAAACAGTTTAATGTCCTACTTTTCTGCACCAACTGGGATAATGACAATGGGCATGGGACATGGGATTTTTTGTCCCATCCGAATGACTTGATGTGGTTACTTACCAGGCCCCCAGCCAAGCACCATTGACAATGGCAATCCACGCCGGAAATTCCAAGGACCTTTCTCAGCCATCCCCGGGATTGATCACAGCATTTCAAAGAAGAATAAGATGGAAAAGATTCTGTATGGACAAATTTTCACTCATAGACTGCATGCAGTATGCCTATCTTCATTAGTCCAGTTGGTGCAGAAATGCGGAATATTAAACCCAATTTCATTTGTTTTCCATACTATTTGGGCAACAAGTTCATCGGTTCCAACAGAAACGTGCTCTAAATCTTATCTATGGCATGTAATTTTGAACAATTTCTGAAAGAGAGCCCCCAATCCCTTCATCTTTCCTGGGATTCATATTGTCCAAAAGCAACAACTCTATGCACATAAAGGTGACTGCTTTCATGCATTCCTTACCCATGGTGGAACACAGGTGATTCTTAATTGCAAAACAATATTTAAACGCCGAATTCAGCATGTTACCATATTACATGTGCCTCCAATACCATTCAATAACTCTAATCATCACATTCATCATTTGGGAAAGGAAATAAAAAGAAAATGGATATACTTTATACAGTGTGTGATGAGGGAAATTTTAACCACATAGTGGCATTTCGACCTAAACTTTACTTGGACTTCGGGTCTATTCAGGGTTTTCTTTTTGTTTTATTTTTAGTCTGGCACCTTTGCAATCTGCTTCTGAGGGGATCTGTGGTCCCCTGTACATATTGCCGTGCACTGAAAAGTACCCTTGACAGTTGGAATTTGAAATAAGAGTAGACCGTAGCACTGCTGTCTGAATTAAATGCAACAAACTTTGTGCACTGCTTGGATGACTTAGCCTGCAGTGAGCAATTGTTGTTGCCTGGGAAGGCAACCTATTTGTTCCATTTTGTTCGTAGTTCGAAGGGGTATTTAATAAGTAAAACAGACTAAATTTTTAGTTTGACCTTAACCATTTTATTACAAGCATTATATAACTAAGAAAAGTGCAAATACTTGGTAAAAACTCAAGCATAATATAAACGTTTGAAAACACATTTCCAATACAGCATTCAAAACATGTAAGAACACATACTATACTTATAGATATTCAATCTGAACCTGTGAACCACACAAAATAATATAATAAAAATATCTGAAATAAATAATTAATGTTAATCATTACAATAGGAATTAATTAGAATTGATTGCAAGAAAAAATCAAAATAATCAGCCAAACTAACCTATCAGGAGTAAAAAATATACAGAATTCATCCATAATTAAATATAAATTTAAAGTATTGAGTTCAAACTGTATTTGAGTTAACTAGAGACGGCTATTACTGGGTACATATAAATGATAAAAAAAAAAAAATCAAACACAAATTTAACCTACTTCTAAACACTCTTGTTCAACCGATTTTAAAATGGCTGTAATGTACTATAGTAATTAAAATATTTATAGTAAAGATGAACTTCTGTAATATTTGTCCAACATGTTTTCTTACTTGACCAACTTAATATACCACAATTTGCCCAAAAAAAAAAAAAAAAAAAAAAAAAATAAATGCCAAAAATAAAAAGTACCTGTACCTCTAAATTTAGTTTTACCTAGAGTTATTGTCATAAATGAAATGATATATTGACTGTCAATCCTCCTCCAATGCATGGGTTGCACTGCACAAAGAGAAAAACGTCATCCATCCATTTAGCACATGTAGGTCGTTCTGGCACATACATAGAAAGGTGGTCCTACTACTTGTTTATACGTTACATACTTGAACTCACAGTGGCAACAGATCAAACAACCATCGAGCAATATCCAACTTTGGTCTATATACAAGTCTTGTGTTCTCTTTGTGCAATAGAACCCTGGGGAAAGACAGAGAAGCTGTCCAAGTTGGACCAATCTCCACTAAATAGTGATTGCCTACCCTAACTCCATTAACCATATGGTGCTCAAAGATTAATAAACTCTAACTTCACTATAACGTTTCTTTAGAAAAATAACAATGAAATTACAGAATTAATTTTGAAAATCATAAAACCAATCAGATAAAATTATTTTATTTCGATCAAATCAATTCATAGTTTCGGTTTCAAATTCTAATTTAATCAAATTTTAATTATAGACTCTGTTGTGTCAAAATATTGTTTAATTATCTATGTACACAAATCTAATCAGAGGATATCTAGCATTGTTTGTTGTTAAGTGTCTCCTACTACTATGAGTAAATACCACAAGCTAGATAAGACAGTGTAATTAGAGTGTAGATTAACTAATGATTGTAATAAACCATACATTAGAATACAATCAGTTTTATTAACTGAAGCGTAATCAATCAAGAAAGAAAGATACAAACTGCCCAGTAACCGTGAGTTCAGATAACGGCAAACCATGCAGGCTAAATAATTCTTTTTGCCTGCTGATGGCTGTAAGATGTTAACAATCAGCTCTCATCTTATGCTTATTCTTCATGACAGTGTCTGTTGGCTTAGTCTACCTTGCCTCTGCTGTGCTTCCTTTTAGCCAAGGTGATGTCAAATGGAAAGCCTGATAACCTCCCCTTGCACTGTTTTGCACCATGCATTCTGTCCTGGCAGACGCTGTACAGACACTTCAGATGGTCTCATTGCCGTTTATCTCCGCTGGTCACATGACTCTCACCCTGATGGTGTTAACAGATGGTGGCTCTAGTTGAAAGGGCCCTGGGAGAGTTGGGACGTATAATACATACGGTCCCCTTGGTATGTAGAATCTTGTGATAACATCACATCAGCTTGTGATTTGAAATCATCAGCCAGATAACTGTCCTATAATAAAACAATTTCACACAATTAACATAAACCTCCTTGGTTTGTTTTGTATCCTATACTTGAATGCCTTTAAATTGTACAATATCTTACAAATAAATAAATTTGATTGTTACTATTTCAATATATGATTACCAGTGGCAGCCAGGCAGGATACGCCCACATTTTCGAGAGATGGATAGAGAACAAGCTAACAAGAAAGAGATTTTTTCCTACAATCAAGGGCCATAATTCAGGAAATTACAATTCGATATACGCGAATATTGAAAGGAACTGAGATCTTTGTGTTATAAACTTACATTTCAAGTTTCAACAAAATCGGATAAAAATTGCGACCTCTATAGGGTCCACAAACTTGATATAGCATATTTTTTACGCTATTTGAGAACGAACGGCGGCCTTTTTGTCTCTCAATTCGAACTCAGCTATCCTTAGGGTGTAACGGTGATATAATAATACGTTTTTTTAAATCGGATAAAAATTATGACCTGTATAGGATCCACAAGCTAAAAACGCGATTTTTTGTACAATCAGGGGCCATAATTCAGGAAGTTACAGTCCGATATGCGCGAATATCGAAAGGAACCGAGATCTTTGGGTTATAAACTTACATTTCAAGTTTCAACAAAATCAGATAAAAATTGTGACCTCTATAGGGTCCACAACCTTGATATACCATATTTCTACGCTATTTGAGAACGAACGGCGGCCATTTTGTCTGTCAATTTTGGGCCGATTTTCACGAAATTCAATCTCAGCCGTCCTTAGGGTGTAACAATGATATAATAATACAGTTTTTTAAATCGGATAAAAATTATGACCTCTATTGGGTCCACACGCTAAAAACACGATTTTTCGTACAATCAGGGGCCATAATTCAGGAAGTTACAGTCCGATATGCGCGAATATCAAGAGGAACTTACATTTCAAGTTTCAACAAAATCGGATAAAAATTATGACTTCTATAGGGCCAAAACCTTGATATACCATATTTGAGAACGAAAGGCGGCCATTTTGTCTGTCAATTTTGGGCCAATTTTCACAAAATTCGAACTGTCGTCCTTAGGGTGTAACAGTGATATAATAATACATTTTTTTAAAAATTGTGACCTTTATAGGGTCCACAAGCTAAAAACGTGATTTTTCGTACATGCCAATATCGAAAGCAGCCGAGATCTTTTGGAGATAAACCTATATTTCAAGTTTCGTCAAAATCGGATAAGAATTGTGACCTGTAGAGTGTCCACAAACAATTGTGGACGGACAGGGGCAACGACAATATACGTCCACATGAAAATGTGGGCGTATAAAAAACAATCATATATTGAAATAGTAACAATCAAATTTTTGTACACCTCATTAGCTGCTATGTAACCAGCGGCTGCCAGGTAGGATACGCCCACATTTTCGAGAGATGGATAGAAAACATGCTAAAACGATAGTGATTTTTCCTACAATCAAGGGCCATAATTCAGGAAATTACGATTCGATATGCGCAAGTATCAAAAAGAACCAAGATCTTTGGGTTATAATAATACATTTCAAGTTTCAACAAAATCGGATAAAAATTGTGACCTCTATAGGGTCCACAACCTTGATATACCATATTTTTACGCAATTTGAGAACGAGGGGCGGCCATTTTGTCTGTCAGTTTTAGGCGGATTTTCACGAAATTCGAACTCAGTCGTCCTTAGGGTGTAACGGCGATATGATAATACTTTTTTTTAAATCGGATACAAACTATGACCTCTATAGGGTCCACAAGCTAAAAACGCGATTTTTCGTACAATCACTCTCAGGGGCCATAATTCAGGAAGTTATGGTCCGATATGCATGAATATCGAAAGGAAACGAGATCTTTTGGTTATAAGCATACATTTCAAGTTTAAACCAAATCGGATAAAAATTGTGACCTCCACAGTGTTCACAAGCTGAAAAGGTGATTTTTTGTACAATCAGAGGCCATAATCCATGAAGTTACGGTCCGATACATGCCAATATCGAAAGGAACCAAGATCTTAGGGTGATAAACCTATCTTTCAAGTTTCATAGAAATCGGATAAAAATTGTGACCTGTAGACTGTGACCTGGACGGACGGAGAGGGGCAACGACAATATACGTCCACATGAAAATGTGGGCGTATAAAAAGGTGATTAACAGAGGGTGGCTTTCAGTCTCCTCCCAAGCAACCATCATAAAACATTTACATGATGGCAATGCAATTAGAAGAGATGCTATAGAAGAGATTGAAATATAAAAGTATGAGAAAAATATCAAAATAAATTTGAAAGGGCAGTGAACAGAGTGAGGCAATACATCAATATTGTAGCCCAAAATCTTTAACGTCTCTCTGGGAATTTCTTTTTTCGCAACTTTTGACATTTTTTTGGTTTTAATGACGTAAAAACCAAAGAAAACAATTTTGACGTAATGAAAACATTGTGACGTAATTAAATAAGATAACACGACGCTCTTGTTTATATTCGCTCGCTTATCGATTGGTTTGACTGTCATTTTTTTTATAAAGGGAGGTCACTCTGCATTAATTTTAGAACATACAAATTTATGTACTTTCTAAATGATTTTGAACTCCAGCAGTGACTAGGTTCGAAATAAATTGCATATTAGGTTTGATAGAAGGCATGTTTTATTATAAAGTGTACCAGTGCATGGGTATCTAACAAATGTAATGGTTTTATTAGAAAAGAGAACCAGCAGCTGCCAGGCAGGACACGCCCAGATTTTCGAGAGATGGATAGAGAACAAGCTAAAAAGAAAGTGATTTTTCCTACAATCAAGGGCCATAATTCAGGAAATTACAATTCGATATGCGCAAATATCGAAAGGAACCGAGATCTTTGTGTTATAATCATACATTTCAAGTTTCAACAAAATCGGATAAAAATTGTGACCTCTATAGGGTCCACAACCTTGATATACTTACATTTCAAGTTTCAACAAAATTGGATAAAAATTGTGAACTCTATTGGGTCCACAACCTTGATATACCATATTTTTACGCTATTTGAGAACGAACAGCGGTCATTTTGTCTGTCAATTTTGGGTCGATTTACACGAAATTCGAACTTAGCCATCCTTAGGGTGTAACGGTGATAAAATAATACGTTTTTTTTAAATCAGATAAAAATTATGACCTCTATAGGGTCCACAAGCTAAAAACGCGATTTTTCGTACAATCAAGGGCCATAAATCAGGAAATTACAATTCGATATGCGCAAATATCTTTGTGTTATAAACTTTAATGTCAAATTTATGTCTGTCCAGTTTTAGCGAATTATTTTAATATTTTTTTTTCGGCTTCATATTACGTGATAGAATTTGAATAACCACTGCAAATGGAACGCGAGTGTAGTCTCGATCTTCCACGCAGGATAAGGATAATTTGACACAGGTAGTCGATTGGTTATGCCATTTTCACAGTTGTCTGTCTGAAAATGTTAACGTTAGCACTCTTGATACGTTAGCACAACTAATTCGGCTTTCACAGAGTTATTTACTCAAAATGTATCACTTTCTTTACGATGTTTAGAAAAGAAAACCGGCTTTCCGATTTCTGGTGCATAAACATGGCGGTCGGCATTCTCAGGTCAAAGGTCACATGCGAACATTGAGCGCTTGATGTACAAGTTGATAAACGCTTTGAAGAGTTAGCCGTACAACACTTTCTGAGATAAAAATGACGGAAAAAGACGCAGGTAGTTGATAATCCGAGAATTTAATTAGGATTCGATATCTGTAATAAATAGTAAGCGATTAAAGACAACATCGTCTTATGTATACAATGAATTCTCCTCTGACTTCCAAGACGTGACGTAACCATGACCTGGTTTGATCGAATTTTAATAGCAGGGCATTCCTTCGCAATTACAATGTTTGAGAAGGATTTGAAGCATAATTATGACAAATTAATTAGTTTGAATATGGTTTTAGTCCATATATACCATTAAATCACCCAGTTTGTACGCGGGAACCCATCTTTAATACAATTTAGTTAAAAACAATTATTCAAGTAATACAGTTATTTATAAAATGTCCATAACGTTAGCAACATTTGCATGCCCAATAAATGTTTAAATTTTAGGTTATTAAAATATATGATATTTATTATATGGGTCACTTTTCAGTATTGGGCACTTTTCGAATGTTTTAATATAAATTCGATTTATAATTAAAATTTTGATATTTCAAATATTTCATTATTTTCCATCCATGCACCAATACCTGCTGTAATATTGAAAATAAAACTGGTTCAGTAAATATTTTTTAAATTTTTTTATCTATCAACAATTGTCAAAATTCGTTATTTTCAACTTGCAAAATTGTGACATGGAAATCTGAATCTTTTCATTCCATGATTGCAAGTATTACAGGCAAAGAAATGAAGCATGCTGACTTTTAATGAAATAAATAATAGTTCAAATCATCATTTAAAACCATATTTGACACTCCCCTGTTTGTTGATTTTTTTTTACGTTCATCTGACTATGAGGTTGCACACGTTACATTTCGTGTCCATCAAATATTAAAAAAATGTTTTTGTGTTGGAAACCGCCCGATAAACCTGCGAATGTTATTTTAGAATGTTGAATTCGGTCGTTCTAAAGAATATACCTTTGCATGACAAGCCAAAATTATAATGTAATGAAAAAAAACAAAGGTCATTCATTGATACATTTATTCGTGTCCTATTTTCATTTGTAACGTCGATAAAACATTTACTTCCTTCGATCACCCATCCATCGCTGTAAGCGGTCGTTTGTTTCTAAAAATAGATATTTACGACATTGCCGGTAGTTTTGTTTACTTGGAATCACGTGATGACTGCATACGGAATTTGTTTCATCTTTGGTCTTGTTGTGTCCCGCCCGGTGTGAAAGCTGTAACGTCGGTAAGAATTGTGAGTATACATTAAAAAATGCCTAATAAATTGAAAGAACAATGTATGTTATGAAAAAACAGACGATATGATGGAAGATA